GCCGACAGAGCAGAGCGTGGCGTGCGTTCGGTATGAAACGCCCTCTCTGCAGTTAGTCCGTTCGGTTTGGTTTTTCGTTTCGACCTGCGTGCGTACCCTGCCGAAACCCGGTCGTGCGCGTACAGGCTGAGGTTTCCAGCTTGTGGATTCGTGCTCAGCAACTGTTTGGTCAACAAGCCCTGCAGCCACGAGCGAGCTGGGATTTGACGTAACCGTCCACGTGTACCGGGACTTTCACTGTGCTTGAGACACTGGTAGCTACTGAGAGTAAGCTCGCTTCTTACGGAGAGAGGGTCCGAGGATAGAAATGAGATCGCCTCAGCGATGCCAGCAAGACCCAGGGCTTTCTGGAGGTGAAGCTGCTGGTTCTAAATAACCTCTTGGACATACAGAGTCCTGAGCAAGTGAGACAAAGGTTTCTTTTTAGTGGAAACTTAACAGGACCTGTGCGGTACCTGGAGGTGACCCTCCAACACTGGAGGTGGTGAGTCCTCAGAGCATCCGCGACCCCATGCAGGGGTCAGGCTATAGCACCGGGGCCACCTCATTCCTTGGGCGGAGAGCGGGTAGTCATGCCCACGTAGACTCATTGGGAAAGTTACACAGGTGAGCTGCTGGGGAAGTCGAAACCCCACACACTTCCTCAGGGTCAGGCTTCAGGCTTCGCTAGAAGTGGAGAAGGACATGGACAGAACACGACTATCGCGTGACTGCCCCAAGAGCTTTATCTTTTTACATCAAAAGTAAGATGCCCAAGTTTGTGTCTGCCCCAGGTATAAGTCACCACTTGCATCTAGCTGTCCCATGAGCAAGCAGGTCTGGATCACACCCTGCCTCAGTTTCCTCATCTGTAAAATAAGACGTTCGGCTCCTTGCAGGCCTGGCCTTGGGTCCGGGAGCCTGCAGGGAGCTGCTGGGTCAGGCCACGTTTTCTGCACAGTGGCTCGGTGATGGGGGCCTGGACCACTGCCTCCCTGGGAGGGTGTGGCATCCCCCGCCCGGACACTGCCAGGAGCACTTCCTGCTGCTGCTGTGGTTCTCATAGGTTGGCTGGCAGATAGCAGATCGGCCCCTGAAGTAAGACAGTGATTTTCTTTTTCTAAGCTAAATTGGGCAGGTTCTTCAGGAACTAGAAAGTTCTGTTGTCTTTGCTGGCAAAGGTTTTGACTCTGGAGCTCTTCATGTCCTCATCAGTGTCGCTTTCTCTCACGGCCGCTCTGGCTCCTGCTGGAGGTGTGGGCCAGTGACTGGGCCTCCCGAGACGTGTCCTGGTGGCTCGCCCGTGAGCACCAGCCGCCTGCCCTTTTGCTCGGTTGTGTTGAGTCTCTTTTGTGAAAAATAGCCAGTACTGGTGGCAAGTCACAGAGCTGCAGGGAGATGTGTTTCCCACGTGCACACGGGGTCCCCCTCTCGAAGACACAGTGCGAATTCTCTCGTGAAGTCAGTTCACAAACGGCTGACTGAAGGTGTCGAGGAGGAAGGCTGTATGTTTAAATCTCAATTTCTTTTTCCAGACATTCAATTTTTCTAATACTTGAGGCTCTGAACAATATTTTGTAGGACATAGGATACTGACTGTGTAAACAATTAGTGTTTTTTTCTGTACTGTATTGGTACTTGTGAGTTCAAGCTTTGGGTAAATTTCTGAAATGCAAGGTAAAAGTACTTTGGTCTCTGGGCTTCCGCGGTTGCTCACACACTTACACAGCCGTGGTGTGAACGTCTTTCGTGGTGTATCATCAATAAAATTTCAGTGTTTCCACAGAAATGTTACTTTTTACTTTTTTTAAACAATATTTTCCAAATGCAAAATAAAATTTTATATACCACACTTTCTGCTTTGACCGTATGCCAGTGAGGGCTTCTGGGGAGCCAGTGATTCGACCACTGATGACGCCCTGTGAGCACATGCCTTGGAAGGTTCCAGAAGGGCAGTCAGCTTTGCAGTGGGGGCCTTGGCATTCAGCCTGCGCAGACCTGCCATGTTTACCACGGACTAAACCTGGTGGTGGCGATCTTTTTGGGGTAGACAGTAGCTAGTAAAACATTTGTACTTGAAGAAATCTGTATCAATTAGAGCAAAGATGTCACCAGTTTTATGTAAAAGAACAGACCTTACTGATGACTGAGTTCAGGGAACAGTCTTTATTCAAGTAAGCGTGATGAGCCACCACGGTGGCGGTGGTTCTCAGGCGGCCCTTTCCCAACTGTCCACCCGTTAGGTGACAGCTTCACCCGATGACCTTAACACACACCTGCCACTTCTCTTATATGGAACCCCGCCCAGGAGAGTTAAGGATATCTAAAAATAACAACATTATAAACATCTGAATACGTTTTTTTCTTAAGAAAAAAGATCGGGAAGAACCACAAATATTGCTTATAAAAATAAATTCGGCACAGCCCCGGCTTGGCTGTAAGAGGCAGAACTCGTCACTGAGGATCTTCCTCTGGGGGGACGGCTTCCATCAGCATCTGCAGGTGCATGGTGACAGGCCCTGGAATGGAAGTCGGCGAGTGAGGGCGGTTAGAAAGGGGTAATTTGAAAGCTTCACCACGACTGGTGGTGAGCAGCGCCTTGTTCTTACCCTGTGGTGACGCGCCGCCTCTCGGACCCTACGCTCGGGGCACGGCTGGTGTTTAGAGTTAATCGGGTCCATCCTGGTAGCTATACTGGGTCTTTGGAGGTAAGTTATTGCCCATGGGAAAATTAGAGGCCTGCTAAATTATTTCATTGTGACCAATTTACACTCTAGGAAACAGACCGCGGATCCCCTCGCTGCCTGGCGAAGATCTCAAGAAGGCTGCGAAGGCTTTCGTAAGTGGGGCTTCCTGCAGCTGAGTCTGCCGTGCAGCAGAGAACGGTGTGAGGCTAATACCGGTACAGACTTTTTAAAAAATAGGTGTCATTCCGAGTCTCTTTGGATGTACTTTGACACAAGTGCTTTCTTTTTAGAAGCGAAAGTGGCTAATGTAGCTAAACTGTTAAACAACTGTCCTAAAATACATGAGGATGAGGACTGCTGGGTGGAGGGCGAGACCTGTGCCTTGGGTGTCGTAAGGCTTAGGCCCCACCCCCGTGCTCCAGTCTCAGCTCCGTCGTCTTTGGGGTGTCTTTGGGATGCTGCCGACCCTCTTAGAGGATGTCTGCATATCAGGCCAAGAAAAAGGTGCTCCAGGGATGAGACGTACAGCGTGAGTGTACTTAACTCTGCTGAACTATACACTTAAGAGTGGTTAAGATGGTAAATTTTGTGTTACGTATATTTTGCAATTAAAAAGAAAATAGCGTGCTCCCTCCCTGCTTGTTAAGAGTCATTGACAGGGACACAAAGATCAAGGTGGACGTGGAGGCACGACACCGAGAGTGGGTTGTGTCCTCCTGAAGAGGAGGGGCGTCTGCGGGCAGGTGAGACCCTGCGATAGGAAAAGCCGCGGCAGCATCAGCACGGACGAGGTGTGTAGGATGCCGCGCCTGTCTGCGCTTCACCAGCAGCTGAACCGTCCTCCTGTTGACACTTACTTGAGATTCTCTGAGCCCATCCAAACTTGTAGTAGACAAACAGGAAGTAGAAGAGAAGGCCGCCCAACATGAATAAGGCGCAGTAGAGATACTCCCAGGCGGGTGCACTGATGATCGGGGCCAGAACCAGGAACAGGGAGATGAGAGTCACCACGACGGGGATGGCGATAGGCACCTGGAAGCAGAGCAGCGGGCGTCACGGTCTGCCCACGTGCGTGCGTTCGCTTTTCGAAACTTTTCATTAAAGACAAACCGACACAGAAAGAAGAGCATAATGCACCCCACGTGCCCCTCCACCAGCTTCGGTAACTTCTGCGTAATTTTGCCAATCTTACTTCCTCCACTCCACCTTTTTCCCCTGAGAATGTGAAGAAAATACCAGACGTCATGTCACTTTACCTGTGAAACATTCAGGACGCATCTCTAGCTCATGAGGACTTGCTGTTTTTGACACGTTTCTTCCCTCTTTTTTTCATCTTGTCATTGATTTGTTGGAGAAACTGGATGATTTATCTTTAGCTTCGCCTGATTGCTTCCTGCTGGAATCGGGCAGCTTGCTCCCGTCTCCCCTATTTCCTGAAAAGTGGCAGGCGGTTCCCAGCCAGAGCAGTGCGCTTCCTTTTATAATATATGTCACAAAGCACAAACGTGTGACCGTCCGGCCTCCGAACTGCTAGGACGGTGGGCTGGGGAGGGAGAGCAGTCCCATCCCACCGTGATAAAGGTCCCATTAACTGTTCATGGTTTTACACTAAAAATACAGGTGAAACTTTGGTTTTATTCATTACTTCATTGGGGGTTACAAAATGGTAATTTTCTAATTCTGTCATTCTGAAATTCTACAATATCTTGAGAAACTTCAATTATTTGGTTTTTCTGAATTGCAGGTTGTACAGGAAAGGCAGGATAAATGCTTGATTCTGGGCCCTTGAGACTCGTAAAGGTGACTCAGACGCACGCATTTGCATGTATTTGGTGGGTTTTGGTCCATCCTAGTCACTCTTCATCATGTTCAAATGTCCTGTCGTTGCCTAGTAGGAGGCCCTCGGACGGGCCTCTGGGTCCCCGTGACGTGATCCCAGTGTGTTCCGAAAGCTTTCTCGCCTTCTGGCAGGGCAGAATGTGCCAGACCTGGATCCTTCCACCTCTCCAGGGAATTTTGGTTTCTTTTAGTGGGAAATGGCGTTTTAAGACCATGCTGGGTGATTGGAGTACTCACTGTTCTTTTACGAGGACAGAAATAATTTTTTTTCAAGAAGGGAAAAAATTTCATGAATTCATACTGATGTTTCCAATTCAAATGTAAGATTACATGGTTTTTTCCCCCTTCCTTTGCTTTAGACCTGTATCTTTTTTTCTTATGCTTCGGAAAATCTTTTTTCTTAATGATTTTAACATAATTGCTCATTTGCTTTTTATCCTATAATGTACCTATAATGAATTTCAAAATAGCTATACCAGTACTACTACTATTGTCAACCTCCTATTGATTGACATTTGGATTGTGTTAACACCTTTTGCTAATGCTGTGGCAAATAACATGTATATTTCATATTTTTGCCTGTTTCATTTAGGGATAGATTTCCTCAAAATGGGTTGGCTGGGTCAAAGAGTAAATGCATGCATAATTTTTCTAGATAGTGCCAAATGTTCCTTCCTGTGGGTATAGCATTCGTGTTCCACTAACAACGTATGGGAGGGCCTTGCCCCACAGCCTCATCAGTGGATGGTGGATTTCTACCCATCTGATAGGTAAGACATTAGTGTTTCATAATTTTGGTACGCGTTCACTTAGTAGGAGCAAAGTTGAGTTTTTTAGGGGATTTTGTGTGCATTTTTAAGTGTCATTCATTGCATTTTCCCTTTGAACTGTCAGTGTATCTTCTTTCCTATCTCAATTTTTAGAAACGCTTTATGTTAAGGATATTAGCCTTTTTTGGTGATACTACTTGCAACTATTTTCCCCATTTGTTGCATATGTTTTTAACTTTCTTTAAAGGTATGCATTTTTATTTCATTAGGGTTGTGTTTATCAGTTTTTTCACTTATTAACTTCTGGATTTTTGAATCAGAGGAACATTTTCCCCATTCTTGGATTTTCAAAGCAATTTATGTTTTCTTTATGCGTCAGCACCATAATATTTAAATTTTAGAACCTGTGTATTTTAATAGTGTTCTCTGTTTTTAGGTTTTTCTTGGGTGTTATTTATTCTTCAATATGAACTTTGTAATTAACTTGTGTAACTCCAGGAAAAAATATTAGATGGTCCTTTTTATTGCAATTGCATTAAATGTCTAAATTAACTTAGGTCACTGTTGATACCTTTCTGCTGTTGAGTTTTCCTGTCCAAGAACATGTATGAATTTCCATTTATTTAAGCTCGCCTTTGTGTCTCTCAGGAGTATTTCATAGTTTTCCAGCTATAGCCTAACAAGTTTATGGGTAGGTTGTTTGCTTTGTGCGGTTTTGTTTGGTGAAATGAAGTATTCTCTATTATTATCTTTTCATTGGGTATCATTTATATAAAGTATGTTAATTTTAGCTTCCGAGGGCAGACGGGATCCGGCGCAGTCAGGGCGGGGTGGCTGCAGACTAATTTTATATCTTACTACTTTATTGTAGTTTTTTCTTCGATCCTTTTGGGTCTTCCAGATAGACAATTGTATTATCTTTTACAGTAGAGAATTTTAGAAACTTTAAAAAGTCTTTTTAGCCAGGTTCGGTGGCTCAGGCCTGTAATCCCAACACTTTGGGAGGATCGCTTGAGGGCAGGAGTTTAAGGCCAGCCTGGGCAGCATAGTGAGACCCTGCCTCTACAAAAAATTAGCTGGTTGTGCTACTTGGGAGGCTGAGGGGAGAGGATCACTTGAGCCAGGAGTTGAAGGCTGCAGTAAACCATGATTGGGCCACTGCACTGCAGCCTGGGCGACAGAGCAAGACCCTGTCTCAAAACAAAAAAAGGTCTTTTCTGTCTCCACATTGCTTTTTCTGTCCAGTGGCCTTGCTAACAAAACAATAGTAAGAATAGAAAGCATTCTCTTTCCTAACCTTAGCAATGATCTTTCCAATGCTACCATGCTACTTTGTTAATTAAAATTGTTTTTAGCCTTGGGTGGGGGGAGGTGGGGGTCTGTGTGTGT